CAGTACCAACACACACACACACACACACACACACACACACACACACACCAAAAAAAAAAAAAGAAAGAAACCACAGCAAATTATTAGAATTATGAAAAAATCTTTCTGTGAGATTTTTTAGACATTTTACCAGAAGTCCAACATAGAACTTCTTTCTATTTACAATGTTGTTGCTCTACTTTCCATCCAGAAAACGAAATGTCCAGCAGCACCCAATACCYGCAGGGACCTTGCAGGTTAGGGACCTGAGGGTTAGGCTTTCTTAGTTCCAGGGTAAATTACCCTTGAAGTAAATCACTCTTCATTCAGTAAATATAGGGTGAATTAAACTTATTTAACCCCCCCAAAAAAAAGTTAACATTGTTTAAGGATAGCTTTGTTAGAGCAAATTACAAAGTTGTAAACTAAGTTCTATATGCAAAAGAATTGATGAGCCATACAGATTTGCTTTTTTGACCAGATTTTCAAACTTKTCTTTATAATGTTAGGAGTATTCTTTTTCAACCCTTTCTATCCACATAATTTAAACAATAACATAAATCAATATTATCCTTTYCAATTTTCAATCTACCTTTTTCTTTTTAAACAGAGATGTGTTCAATAAATTCCTAATAATTCTTACTAGTGTTTATCCTCTTGTGACAAGAAAGCACTTATCCTTTTTCTTCTTCAAGTGCTTTCACCAACAGCATGAATACATTTATAGTGTCCTTATCAAGTGTCTTTGAGAGCAACAAGCACAGTTAGAATCCAGTCCTTCTGATTCCTAGTGCAATGAATTTGTACCCAGCTATATAGCTTTAATAGAACTATCAAGACTATTTATTCCAGGTGTGGTATAAATTACTTCTCTGAAAAACTATTGTTAGAAACTGTCTTCTCATTTTTAATTAAACTATGATCTTAATTATTTTGTTTGTACTTTTAGTCTTTATTGTAAAAAATATCCCCTCCTCTACTTAGTCATTCACTGTTCCTCTCTTTATTCCTGGGTACCTATATTTTTTTGAAGATGACTAAACCCCTAAATTGTGGTAAAGTGTACTAGTGAAGAATTCAGTCTTTATACTAATCTTCAGGATATACAAAGAACTCAAAAAAAACTTTTGAGTTTTTGAAACCCAAATAACCCAATCAATAATTGGGCAACGACTGAAGAGACATTTCACAGAAAAAGAAATACGAATGACCAAAAAAAAAAAAAAAAGAAAGAAAATAAAAATGTTAAACATTTCTAGCAATTAGAGAAATGCAAATTAAAACTACACTGARACTCCATCACACTCCAGTCAGAATGAAAATTATCAAGAAAACAAGTAGCAATAAATGTTAATGAGAATATGGCGAAAAATGTTCACTTTTACATTGCTGGTGGGATGGCATATTGGTGCAACCAGTCTGGAAAGAARTATGGAGATTCCTAAGAAAACTTAGAAAGGAACTACCATTATATCCAGTTATCTCACTCCTCAGCTTATAGGACTTAAAATCAGCATATTGCAGTGATGCAGCCACATCAATGTTTACAAGAATTCAATTCACAATAGCCAAATATGGAACCAACCTATGTTCCCTTCAACAGATAAATAGACAAAGAAAATGTGATATATATATATATATATATATATATATATATATATATATATATATATATATATATATATATATATATATATATCATGAAATATTACTCAGCCATAAAAAAAATAATGACTTTATGGCATTTGCTGGTAAATGGATGGAACTGGAAACATCGTGCTAAGTGAAATAAGCCAATCCCCAAAACCCAAAGGCAGAATGTTCTCTCTGATATATGGATGCTAACCCATAACAAGGGAGGAGAGGGAATGRAAATATAGAAGTTAATTGGATTAGACAATGGGGAATGAAGGGAACGGAACAGGAGGGGAATAGAAAAGACAGGATAAATCAGACATAACTTGCCTATGCTCATATATGAATACATGACCAGTGTAACTCCACATTTATGTTCAACCACAAAATGAGATCAAAATTGTAATGAGTTGAACTCCAAGTATGTATAATATGTCAAAATACATCCTACTGTCATATATATCTAAAAACAACAAAAAAATTACATGGAGGAAAAAAAGAACTCATTCTCTAGACTAGACTGACTGAGTTCAAATAATAATTCTGCCACAGATTAGGTGTCTAACCTTGATTTAAAATATTTAGCTATTCTGAACCTTAGTTCTTCATCTGTAAAACAGGGAAAATCATAGTACCTAAGTAAGTCATGTGGATGCTGTAAGATTTAAATGAACATTAAATGAAATTTAAATAGTGCCTGGTACATGGTAAGACCTCAACAACTTTTAGCTCTTTATTATTTAAAACAAGTCTAGACTCTATAATGTAGATCATGAAGAACTTTGTTTTTAGAGATACTGCTACCTTGGGGGAAAAAAWTTTTTGCTCTGTCGTACCACAAACCTTTGAAACTGTAACAGAATTGTAGTCTGCAAATAAAATAATCAAATATGTTGATTTGCAATGTGCCAACTTTACACATGCCACTGGGCATTTTTTCTGCCCTATATACTCCCAGATTTGGAGTCCCCAGAGAATTTAGGGAATTCTAGAATTCACCTTTTGTTCTCAGTCCAGAATGGCTTTTGAGAGAATAAAATGCATGAATTAGAAACCTTAGAACTAGAGCCCAGGATTCTTATTGTTGGAASATCCCAGGACTAAAATATGGTTCATTACTAAGAAGATTCCCAAGAACATGGAACRTCCACACAATTGGTGAACATCTGCAATTCAGTCAAGGTGATTCATATAGGGAAGTCTATTTGGATTGTGACTGTAACTAAAAGATTGCACCTAATCATTGTATTATTTTGCTTTTTAAAAGATGGAATTTAAGAAAGGGAAATTTATGGAATCTATAAGTGGAGGTCAGAAAAATCAAATTT